CTTCAATGATAGATGATAGAAAGACTGTAAACACAACACCTTAATAAACAGATTAGAGCAAGGGTCCTCAGCATCAGGTTGTTTTGAGCTGATTATAACATCAACATCTTCTTAGATGCCTCCAAGGCTAGGAAGGGGGGGGTTGAAGCTCTGAAGTTCTTTTCATTCTTCTTCTTCTTCTTTTCTTTTCTTTTTCTTCTTCATTCTTTCTTCTTCTTCTTCTTTCTTCGTCGTGCCCCGTGACTGCCCAAATGAGTGAAGTGTGCGGTGATTCTAAGATCGACGGCACTCATCTGCATGTCATACTGACTGACAGTATTATTTCTCTTCCCCAGCAGACTCCAAGGGCATTTAAATTAAAGGTACAGTGTTCTGCGCTAATATAAAGGCTCTCTGAAGCCTAGAAACCCTTTAAATAAGTTAAATTCGCGGCGAATAAATTTGCATCGAATCGAATTTCTCCCGCAAATTTGGCGAATCAGCCGAATCGAATTTTTGAATAATTCGCTCATCTCTAATTAGGGTATTTGGGGACCCTGCAGAACCCTATAGCATGCACACAGATGCCACCAGATTCTGACAAGGCTTCTTTATGGCGACTTGACCATGCAGCTAATTTTTGTTCAAGTATCGTTGTATTGTGCTCCTTCAAAACAACCAGACCATCTTTTTCCAGAGCACCCTGTATTTCTCCTGAGGTTACCAGTGGGTTACAGTTTGTACCCTGAACAATTCTGGCAGTTGTGGCTGCAATCATGGTCTACAAGACCTTGGTTTTGGTATCAAGACACTAACTGCAATTTACAAAGCCACAGATGTGGGGAAATTAACATTTAATTGCCATTTTAACCTGTGTGTGTCACCTTGTGTGTTTGTACCAAGGCCAAACATTCCAGAGTATGTAAACTTTTGTTCAGGGCCGTTTGGGTAATTCCTGTTATCATTATCATTTAACCACTTCCTGACCGCCCTATAGCAGAACTACTGCTACAGGGTGGCAGGGCTGCGCAAAATCACGTGTATATATACGTGATTTAGCATTTCCGAGTAGGGGGCATGTGTGCCCTACCGGAGTTGCCGTTGGTGGCTACAGCTGTCGATCACCGGGCCAGAGATTGTCTGCCGGCAGCAGGCGATCACCGAGTATCACTGATGGGGCAGAGGTCTGTATGTAAACAATGAAGATCTCTCCCGTCAGCACCTACATGCTACTTTGTATCGCTCTGCATAGCAGAGCGATACAAAACAGCATGCCTCCCTAGTAAAACACACAACACAACACACAGTAAAACACACACACACAGTTAACCCTTTGATCACCCCAGATGTTAACCCCTTCCTGCCCAGTGTCATTAGTACAGTGTCAGTGCCTTTTATTAGCACTGATCACTGTATTGTCAGTGTCATTGGGGATGTCAGTGACAGTCAGTTCCCCCCAAGTGTCAGAATGCCTACCGCAGTCCTGCAGTCCCGCTATAAGTCACTTGATTTCCGCCATTACTAGTATAGAAAAAAAAAACCCCCAGTATGTATACCGCCATTTGTAAACACTATAACTTTCACATAAACCAATTAATTTACACGTATTGGGATTTTGTTTCAGCAATGACATGTAGCAGAATACATTTTGGCCTCAATTTATGACAAAATGATTTTTAAAATTTTTTTTTACTGGATATATTTTATAACAAAAAGTCCAAAATATGGCTTTTTTTTAAATTGTCGGTCTTTTTTGGTTTATAGCGCAAAAAATTAAAAACGCAGAGGCGATCAAATACCACCGAAACACAGCTCAATTTGTGGGGAAAAAGGACGAAAATTTAATTTGGGTGCAGCGTTGCATGACCGCGCAATTATCAGTTAAAGTAACGCAACACCGTAAGGCAAAAAAATGGCCTGGTCAGGAAGGGGGGTAAATCCTCTGGAGGGCAAGTGGGTAAAAAGGAGGCAAACAACTATGTGATAATAAATGGCTTCATATGAACACTCTCTTTAAATATTTTTAGCATGATCAGTCATATTTTCAATATCAATGCTGAAATGTCACAATTAATGCCAAGATGTGCAAACTTTTGAGCACAACTTTATTTATTTATTTCAGGTACTTATATAGCGCCGTCAATTTATGCAGCACTTTACATATACAGTTGTGTTCAAAATAATAGCAGTGTGTTGAAAAAAGTGAATAAAGCTCAAAATCCTTCTAATAGCTTTTATTTCCATACACACAAATGCATTGGGAACACTACACATTCTATTCCAAATCAAAACATGAAGAAAAATATATCAAATTTGTGTTGTTCCTCTAAAAAAATTAAATAAAAGTGAATATTAGACTGTTCAAAAATAAGCAGTGTTTGTATTCTTCTTTACAAACTCAAACATTCACTATATAAACTGAAAAAAAATGTTTGAAGATTTTGCTTTCCTTTGAATCAATTAATATTTAGTTGTATAAGCACTGTTTCTGAGAACTGCTGTACATCTGTGTTGCATGGAGTCAACCAACTTCTGGCACCTGTGAACAGGTATTCCAGCCCAGGATGATTGGACTACATTCCACAGTTCTTCTCTATTTCTTGGTTTTGCCTCAGAAACTGCATTTTTGATGTCACTCCATAGTTTTTTCTATTGGATTAAGATCCGGGGATTGGGCTGGCCACTCCATAACGCCAATCTTGTTGGTCTGGAACCAAGATGTTGCACGTTTACTGGTGTGTTTGGGGTCGTTGTCTTGTTGGAACACCCATTTCAAGGGCATTTCCTCTTCAGCATAAGGCAGCATGACCTCTTCAAGTATTCTGATGTATTCAAACTGATCCATGATCCCTGGTATGCGATAAATAGGCCCAACAACGTAGTATGAGAAACATCCCCATATCATGATGCTTGCGCAACCATGCTTCACTGTCTTCACAGTGTACTGTGGCTTGAATTCAGTGTTTGGGGGTCGTCTGACAAACTGTCTCCGGCCACTAGACCCAAAAAGAACAATCTTACTTTCATCAGTCCACGTCTTTTTTTCAACAGTGGGACTTTGCGGGGGCTTCTTGCAGATAGCTTGGCTTCACATAGGCATCTTCCAATTGTAACAGTACTCACAGGAAACTTTAGACCTTCTTTGATCTTCCTGGAGCTGATTGTTGGCTGAGTCCTTGCCATTTTGGCTATTCTTCTATCCATTCGAATGGTAGTTTTTTCGCTTTCTTCCACATCTTTCAGGTTTTGGTTGCCATTTTAAAGCATTTGTGATCATTTTAGCTGAGCAGCCTATCATTTTCTGTACTTCTTTATATGTTTTCCCCTCTCCAATCAACTTTTTAATCAAGGTACGCTGTTCTTCTGAACAATGTCTGGAATGACCCATTTTCCTCAGAATTTCAAAGAGAAATGCACTGTAACCAGCATGTACAACATTTGCTGCCTTCCTTCCTTAAATAAGGGCAACAATTGCCACCTGTTTTTCAAAGAATGAATGACCTCACTAATAGAACTCCACACTGCTATTATTTTGAACATGCCCCTTTCAATTAGTGATTCAATTACACAGAATCAGCAGCATGTATGTCATGACTGTTGGGTCTGTTGGATTTCTACTATTCTACTACACCTGCTAGTAAATTATTTGCCATGTAGAAATATCATTTCTACCAAAAACAGTGATTGATCAGGTTAGTGATGTCTGACTGCTATTATTTTGAACACAACTGTACATTGTTCATTCACATCAGTCCCTAACACTCAAGGGGTGTACAATCTAAGGTCCCACATACACATACTAGGGCCAATTTAGACAGGATCCAATTAACCTATCAGCATTTCTTTGGAGTGTGGGAGGGAACCGGAGTACATGGAGGAAACCCACAGAGGCACAAGGAGAACATGCAAACTCCAGGCAGGTGGTGTCATGGATGAGATTTGAACCAACGACCCTAGTACTGCCAGGCAGAAGTCTGCCCACAGATGCCCCTTACCCACATAGGCAGTTTTTGGTAATGGTGCATTATGCTTGTAAAAAGATTTCTCCAAAAAGACAACTAAGAAGAAAGAGGTAGTTTGGTTCCAAAAGAGGGACAGTCCCTTTAAATGAGGCAGAGTTGGGAGCCACATGCAGCTTTGCATATGAAATAATCCCATTATGTGTGATGTCTCCATAGCGGAGTACACTTTCTGAGTAATAGATGAATAGAGACATTCAGAACTGTCCTGCACTTTATTAAAGTGTGAGTGTTAGTAAAATCTGTCGGCTCCATAACAGGAACCATAAAAACAGCCTGAGGACCAGTGAGAGGGTGTGAAGTGAAGGCTGGCACAGCAAACTCCCCTCCCCCTCCCTCCTCAGTATAACTGTGTGGAATCCCTGCCAACACATCAGCCACGTAGGAGAAGCAGTGAGGATGGGGGGACCAGCCTAGTCCTTCCACACAGACCCTGTCCTTCAACTTCCCACACTTTCTGCAACTTTATTATGGGAAACATCCACCATTCAGGAAGAACGTTATAAACTTCCCGCTTTTTACACATTCTAGTCCTCAATTCCTGCGACATAGGAAAATGATGGCTATAGTAAGCCCCGCCCCTTTCTCCATGCAGCTGTATGTCTCCCCCTCGGGGATGTTCGATGGGATCCACATGGTGGGCGGGGCTTTACAGGGTCTTCCACGTTTACAGATAAGCCATGAGTCTGTATCTCTGTGAATGACACAATGATTAGACATTGCTGAGGTGTATATATGTAACAGGGTGCCGTGCTCCTCCATAGGAGGCATTGCCTGACACACTGCTGTCTGCCTCCTGCCCACCGTGCCCGGACATGTCGGTGTCCCCGGGCGGTGTACAGTATTCATTGCCTCCTATAGCTTCAGTTGTCACACACTGAGGTCACAGCCGTGTCCGGACACTTCGCATTCCTCCCTCAGTAGAGTACCGGGAGAGTTGTGGTCCCTCCCCCTCCCTCCTCCTCTCTTCTCCCTCTTCCTGGCACTTCTCCTGACTCTGCCATGAGAGAGTCCGAGAGCCCTCCGCCTGTCCTCCCCGGAATGCCGGTCATTCGCTGGTCGCTGCTGCTCCTCCAGGCCGTCTTCCTGGTCAGCTTCGTCACATGTAATGACGCCCCGCCGGTGCCCGGAGATCAGCTTCATATAGAGAAGACCTGGGTGCCCGAACTGTGTCCCCGCACCGTCACCGAGGGCGACTTCGTCCGGTACCACTACAACGGAGCCTTCCCCGATGGGACCAAGTTTGACTCCAGGTACACTGTGTACACCCCACACCTCACTATACATTGTACTGTACACCCCACTATACACTATACTACACTGTACACCCCACTATACACTGTACACCCCACACCTCACTATACATTGTACACCCCACTATACACTATACTACATTGTACACCCACACCTCACTATACATTGTACTGTACACCCCACTATACTATACTACACTGTACACCCCACTATACAGTGTACACCCCACACCTCACTATACATTGTACTGTACACCCCACTATACCTTGTACACCCCACTATACACTATACTACACTGTACACCCCACTATACATTGAACACCCCACACCTCACTATACATTGTACACCCCACACCTCACTATACATTGTACACCCCACACCTCACTATACATTGTACTGTACACCCCACTATACCTTGTACACCCCACTATACACTATACTACACTGTACACCCCACTATACATTGTACACCCCACACCTCACTATACATTGTACACCCCACACCTCACTATACATTGTACACCCCACACCTCACTATACATTGTACTATATTGTACTGTACACCCCACTATACACTATACTACACTATACACCCCACTATACATTGTACACCCCACACCTCACTATACATTGTACTGTACAGCCCACTATACCTTGTACACCCCACACCTCACTATACATTGTACTGTACACCCCACTATACGTTGTACACCCCCACACCTCACTATACATTGTACTGTACACCCGACTATACCTTGTACACCCCACTATACCTTGTACACCCCACTATACACACTATACTACACTGTACACCCCACTATACATTGTACACCCCGCTATACACTATACTACACTGTACACCCCACAATACATTGTACACCCGACACCTCACTATACATTGTACTGTACACCCCACTATACACTATACTACACTGTACACCCCACAATACATTGTACACCCCACACCTCACTATACATTGTACTGTACACCCCACTATACACTATACTACACTGTACACCCCACTATACCTTGTACACCCCACTATACACTATACTACACTGTACACCCCACAATACATTGTACACCCCACATCTCACTATACATTGTACACCCCACACCTCACTATACATTGTACTATATTGTACTGTACACCCCACTATACCTTGTACACCCCACTATACCTTGTACACCCCACTATACACTATACTACACTGTACACCCCACTATACATTGTAAACCCCACGCCTCACTATACATTGTACTACATTGTACTGTACACCCCACTATACCTTGTACACCCCCACACCTCACTATACATTGTACTGTACACCCCACTATACCTTGTACACCCCCACACCTCACTATACATTGTACTGTACACCCGACTATACTTTGTACACCCCACTATACCTTGTACACCCCACTATACACTATACTACACTGTACACCCCACTATACATTGTACACCCCTATACACTACTACACTGTACACCCCACACCTCACTATACATTGTACTGTACACCCCACTATACACTATACTACACTGTACACCCCACTATACATTGTACACCCCACACCTCACTATACATTGTACTGTACACCCCACTATACCTTGTACACCCCACTATACATTATACACCCCCCTATACACTATACTAAACTGTACATTGTACACCTCACTATACATTGTACTGTACACCCCACTATACACTATACATTGTACTACATTGTACTGTACACCCAACTATACACTGTACACACTCACTATACATTGTACACCCCACTATACACAGTACTATACATTGTACTACACTGTACACCCCACTATACCTTGTACACCCCACTATACATTGTACTACACTGTACACCCCACTATACATTGTACACCCCACTATACCTTGTACACCCCACTATACATTGTACTACACTGTACACCCCACTATACATTGTACTGTACACCCCACTATACCTTGTACACCCCACTATACTACACTGTACACCCCACTATACACTGTACACCCCACTATACATTGTACACCCCACTATACACTATACATTGTACTACATTGTACTGTACACCCCACTATACCTTGTACACCCCACTATACATTGTACTACACTGTACACCCCACTATACCTTGTACACCCCACTATACATTGTACTACACTGTACACCCCACTATACCTTGTACACCCCACTATACATTGTACTACACTGTACACCTCACTATACATTGTACTACACTGTACACCCCACTATACCTTGTACACCTTACTATACATTGTACTACACTGTACACCCCACTATACATTGTACTACATACCCCACTATATACTGTAATATACACCCGACTATACATTGTACTACACTGTACACCCCACTATACATTGTACTACACTGTACACCCCCACTATACATTGTACACCCCACTATACACTGTACAATACACCCCACTATACACTGTACTACACACCCCACTATACACTGTACTACACACCCCCCACTATACATTGTACTACACACCTCACTACATTGTACTACACACCCCACTATACACTGTACTATACACCCCACTATACATTGTACTACACACCCCACTATACATTGTGCTATACACTGTACTATACACCCCACTATACATTGTACTACACACCCCCCACTATACATTGTACTGCACACCTCACTATACACTGTACTACACACCCCACTATACATTGTACTACACACCCCATTACACCCCACTATACATTGTACTACACACCCCACTATACATTGTACTACACACCCCACTATACATTGTACATAACTCACTACACCCCACTATACACTGTACTACATACCCTACTATACGTTGTACTATGCACCCCACTATACACTGTACTACACTGTACTATACACCCCACTATACATTGTACTACACACCCCACTATACACTGTACTATACACCCCACTTTACATTGTACTACACACCCCACTATACGTTGTACTACATTGTACTGTACACCCCACTATACGTTGTACTACACACCCCACTATACACTGTACTACACTGTACTATACATTGTACTACACTGTACTATACACCCCACTATACATTGTACTACACACCCCCACTATACATTGTACTACACACCCCATACCCCACTACACCCCCCACTATACAATGTACTACACTACACACCCCCCACTATACATTGTACTACACACCCCACTACACCCCCACTATACAATGTACTACACTACACACCCCACTATACACTGTACTATGCACCCTACTATACATTGTACTACACCCCCCACTACACCCCACTATACACTGTACTACACTACACACCCCACTATACATTGTACTATACACCCTACTATATATTGTACTACACACACACCACCATACATTATAATACACTATACATTGTACTACACACCCCACTATACATTGTACTACACTGTACTACACACCCCACTAAACATTGTACTACACACCCCACTATACATTGTACTATACACCCTACTATACGTTGTACTACACACCCCACTATACATTGTAATACACACCCAACTATACATTGTACTACACTCTACTATACACCCCACTATACATTGTACTACACTGTACTACACACCCCACTATACATTGTACTACACTCTAATATAGACTGTACTTCACACCCCACTATACATTGTACTACACACCTCACTATACATTGTATTACACTCTACTATACACTGTACTACACACCCCACTATACATTGTACTACACTGTACTACACACCCCAATATACATTGTACTACACACCCCACTATACATTGTACTACTACACTACACACCCCACTATACATTGTACTACACACCCCATTATACATTGTACTACACTGTACTACACACCCCACTATACATTGTACTACACACCCCACTATACATTGTTCTACACTACACACGCCACTATACACTGTACAGCACACCCCACTATACATTGTACTGCACACCCCACTATACATTGTACTACACACCCCATTACACCCCACTATACAATGTACTACACACCCCACTATACATTGCACTACACACCTCACTATACCCCACTATACACTGTACTACACACCCTACTATACGTTGTACTACGCACCCCACTATACACTGTACTTCGTTGTACTATACACCCCACTATACATTGTACTACACACCCCACTATACGTTGTACTACAGTGTACTGTACACCCCACTATACATTGTACTACACACCCCACTATACATTGTACTACACACCTCGCTATACATTGTACTACACTGTACTACACACCCCACTATACATTGTACTACACTCTACTATATACTGTACTACACACCCCACTATACATTGTACTACACACCCCACTATACATTGTACTACACTACACCCCCCCCCCTATACATTGTACTACACACCCCACTATACATTGTACTACACTACACACCCCACTATACATTGTACTACACACCCCACTATACATTGTACTACACTCTACTATATACTGTACTACACCCCCCACTATACATTGTACTACACACCCCACTATACACTGTACTACACTACACACCCCACTATACAATGTACTATACATTGTACTACACACCCCACTATACATTGTACTGCACCCCACTGTACATTGTACTACACCCCACACCCCACTATACAGACATGATAAATTACAGCACATGGATCCCAAAAATTCTACAGACATGACGACTGACAACACAGGGATCCCATACAATAAATCTACAGACATGAAGCCTAACAGCACAGGGGTCTCTTGCAAGAAATCTACAGACATGACGACTGACAACACAGGGGTCCCCTACAAGAATTCTACAGACATGACGACTGACAACACAGGGATCCCATACAAGAATTCTACAGATATTATGACTGACAGCACAAGAGTCATATACAAAAATTCTAAAGACATTATGACTGACAACACAGGGATCCCATACAAGAATTCTACTGACACAA